ATATGAGTAAAAAATGTATGAAATCCCTCCTTTTTAAGAACATAATTCACAGTTTAAAGTCTATAGATTTAATATTTGTGAAGATTGTGTATATGGCGTAAAAAAAAAGATAACTTTCTCTAAAACTGGAAATTGAAGTCCAAAAAGTCAGAGTTAGGGCAAGTTGATGTATAGGATCCTACTCTAGTTCAATCTATTGAAGGTTCTCAATATTTTGTCACTTTCATTGATGATCACACCAAAAAAGCATGGGTATAATTCTTGAAACATAAATATGATGTATTTTATGTGTTTAAAAAGTGAAACGTTATGGTTAAAAATGAGATAGGTTTGAGATAAAAGTTTCTCCGATCAGATAATAATGGCAAGTATCGTGATCAAATGTTCGAGAGTTATTATACTTCAGACGAAATTAAACATGAGTTCACTATTCCAAGGACGCCGCAACAAAATGATGTTATTAAGTGCATTAATAGAATCATTAAAAAAAGTTCTAATAGCATGAAGTTGCATGTAGGTTTGCCAAAACAATTTCTGGTAGTAGCAGTGAATACTGCAATTTATTTGATAAAAGCAAGATTCGTTAGTACCTTTGAATGAAAGCTTACTTGAAGGAGCTTCAAGTGGCAAAGGGATAAATTTATCTCATTTGAAAGTATTTGATTGTTCATCATATATTCATGTAGATGTAGGATTCATGGGTAAGCATGATTCAAAATCTATGAAGTACTCTTTCATTGAGTATGGCTCACATAAATTTGGTTATAAATTATGGGACAATGAAAAATTAATTAGAAGCAGGAATATCACTTTTAATGAAATAGAGATGGCCAAGGACATAAATAGAATTCAGAATTGTCCATTAGTACTTCTCAAGACCCCGCAAGATATGATGATCAAAATGATGGAGAAAGTAAATATGCTCAATCTAATAAAGAACGAGAAGTTCCTCAGATACCTAATACAAAAGTCAGAAGGTCCAACAGAATAACATGACTAATACAGATGTATTCTCTTTCTTTGTACTATCTATTGCTAACTCACAATAGTGAACTAGAGTGTTATGATGAGATCACTCAAATTGAAGAATCAAAAGTAGGAAATGTAATGAAAATAAAGTACGAGGACAAGTTTCGAAGCTAAGAGCAGGAACAGTGAGAGGACAACTATCAGAGTTGTGTTGAACTTAGTAGTAGAGGAAGATCTATATCTAGAGCAGATGGATGTAAAAACACTATTCTTGCATGGTGATTTAGAAGAAATATATATAGTGTAACCACAGGGATATCAAGTTCCAAGAAAATAAGACATGGTAAGCAAATTAAAGAAAAGTATTTATGATTTGAAGCAAGCATCAAAGTTGTGATTCAAGACAAATTGACAGGATTATATCAGACAGTGGATACACAGAGTGTTAAACATACCAGATAATTGTTATATTGTGCGTCTTTTGAATGTGGATGGCATACTGATTGCAGGAGCAGATATAAAAATGATTAGGGACTTGAAAGAGTAATTATCAAAAGAGTTGAAATGAAAATTTTAGTTCAAACTAAGAAAATCTTTGGTATGACAATCAACAGAGATAGGAATGTAAGTACATTAAAGTTGTTTCAAACAAAATATGATGAGAATTTCCTGCACAAATACAACATGAGCAAGGCAAAACTAGTTTGCATCCCCTTAGGCAGTCACTTTAGACTATCTAATAAACAATCACCTAAAGTTTGAAGCAGAGCAAGCATAGATGAAAAGAACCTCCTATGTTTCAACTGTTGGAAGTTTAATGTATGTGATGCAATGTACAAAACCAAATATTGCACATGAAATAGGAGTGGTTAGTAGGTACATGAGTAATTCATAACATTATCATTGGGAGGCGGCAAAATAGATTCTCAAATACTTGAAGGAGGAAACAACAAAGCACTTTGTTTTGAAAGTGCAGGGATACGTAGATTCAGATCAGGCAGGAGATATTGATGGTAGAGGAAGTAAACTATGTTACATTTTCACCTTGAGCAACACAGTGGTGAGTTGGGTTTTCAAGTTACAAAAAATTGTTGCACTGCCAACTATAGAAGTAGATTATATTGCTATCACTGAGGCTGCCAAGAAAATGATTTAGTTGTAAAGTTGTATGGCAGAACTGGGAAATGAGTATAAGAATGAAAAGTTTCATAGTGACAATATAAGTGTCATTCATCTAACAAAGAACGCCACATTTCATAGTGACAAAATATTTTAGAAGTTGAATGTGTCATTATAAGTGTCATTCATCTTACATATATTCATACTTTTGAGCCTCCCAAGTTTCCAATAATTACTCTCGTGAAGAGAGTTCCTGCATCCCCATCAACAGTAGTAGTTCAAATTTTTCCACCAACCTCAACCCCAAACCTTATTATTGAGCATATCCTATCAAATGCAATTAGATTAACTCTCGAGCAGACAACATTATTTTGTATGAAAAAAAGGTCATTTACCATAAGATGACCCATAGACAACACATGACAGCTTCGACACATTTGCCTAAACCTCTTGGATGGGTACCTTCAAAATAACTCTATAGAAGATTTTTCTTAACATCCTAAGGGAGTTTGCGGCGGATATTTGAATTGAATTTATACTATATGTAGATGGTTTGATTAATTACATATTTCATCGCTTATTTTAGGATATTTGGATGTATTTCATTAGATTTATTTCCTAAATTAATACATTTATTCAGTTTATATTTTTTTTTTTATTTTTTGTGACTTTATTTTCTTGTAGCCTTATGGTCCTTCCAATACCGATACGGATTATAAGGACCGCTAGGTCTAGGTCGAATCATGGATTATTTTAATAATATGTTAAGTTATATTGAATCTCTCTCTCTCTCTCATGGTAAACATTTGAACCGAACATACAGTTGGCATACATTTGAAATAGATGGTGTAATAAACTTGATGTAAAATATCTAAACGGCTGCAATCTTTTTGCTTCTACTACCCAGATATTCAGACTTCCATGGCTACCATGGAGCTAAACACGGCAAAGACCCAAAGTTTTGCAATCAACTAGGAGACAAACATCAAGTAATTACAATTGAAAATGACCATACTATGTTTGTTAAATAAATATATAAGGCTTTCTCGTATCGAGTGGGTTATTTCATTACTTTGTTAGGGTAATTTTAATCGATGTCATTGGGTTTATTAATAATAGCCTTGTTAGCAAGATGCTAGTAGTTTATTAACATTTTTAACAATTGTTAGAAATTTATCAGTAGTTTTCCATTTATTTTGCATTTACAAGAAGATGATGTTGTGATACGTTAAACATATATTGAACTTATAGAATTCTTACTTTGAATGTGAATAACCACTTCTTTATCCATTCCAAGGAATGATCATTGACCTGGTAAGAGACCCACCAAGAAGAGACAGTTATCTTGTTCAGGAGCGCTCCTTTATGAGCTTACATTTCCTCATCATTCCTATTTATTATATCCTTCTTATCATCGAAATGGCGGGCGAGTGTGACAGTAGAAAAAGAATGCTGGTGGCTGCGAGGAGGGAGGTGCGAAAAAGCAAAGACAGCGGGTATGATTGCTTTCATGAATGGTGGCAGCGAAAAGTTGGGGTGCTTAGCAGCAGAACAGCTGGAAAGTGGTATTTCCTGGTTGTCCTGAACGACAGCAGCAAGTTGGAAGGGGTAAAACAGCAAAAATAAAGCTGGAAAGGGGCCTTTTGGGCGGCAACAATGCAAGAATTGAAGGGGGAGGCGGGTGAGAGGCTGGAGAACAAGATACAGCCAAAGCACCACATGGAACCAATAGATACAGCTCTCGAAGGGAAGAAGAGACGCCGGTTGCAGTGAGCGGGACAAAGGAATGCTGGTAGCAGTGAGCGGGAGGTGCGAAAATGAATGGACAACAGGTATGGTTGCTGTCCTAAATGGTGGCAGCAAGGAGTTGGGGTGGGTAGCAGTGAAATAGAAGGAAGGCGGTGTTCCCTGGTTGTCCTGGGCAGCAACGACAAGGTCAGATGGTTGGAACAGCAGGAACAAGGCTGAAAAGGGGTGGTTTGGGCGGCAGCAATGAGGAACTACTGCGTACCGCGACAGTACAGGATGGTTGGACAGCGGCGGCGGCGATGTTGGTGAGCTGGAACTGCTGGGGCAGCGAAGCACGGGGAGGTGAAGGCGATGGCGACAATTAGAAATTCAGAAAACAACAACCGAAATGTTGTACTGGACCAGGTGCGATGTGTGGAAGATGCGGAAAGGGATAGAGAAGATACACACCACCTGGAGAACAAGATATAGCTGAAGCACCACCTAGAACCCTAGAATACAGCCCTCGAAGGGAAAAAGAAATGTCGGCTGCTATTCTGATACAAAACACACAAGAAAACTAGCCTAAACATGAAAATAACAAATTTATAGACCTAGGATAAATAGGAGTGGACCCCACTTCCAATTGGAGTAAGATCCATGTAAAGGATGTGTTGACCGGCATGGAAGTATCGACTGGCAAGGAAGTGCTAACCACCCTCCTGGACTAGCTCAAGCCGCAATTTTCTGTGGCAGTTCACAAATTGTAGCATAGATCACAAAAACGTCCCTACGGGAAGCTCTTATGTCAAGGCAGTCCCTCATATGCCCATCAAATACAGAGGAGACACATTTGAAGTTCAGATAGGATCTTAGCTCACAACATAAAAGATCGTAATCCTAATTAACAGTGAAGTTCTAAACCAGAAAGTGTGCAGAAACTTTAGTGTCTTCAAGTTTCAATAAGCAAAATATTTCAAATCATATGCTTATAAAAAAAAAGAACTTCGTAAAGCAACATTCGGATTAAACATCCAGACAAAATAAATATTTCAAGTTAATGATTTCTTGTTATTAAGTTCAATGCACTAAATGAATGAAATTATCCTTCGAAAAAATACTTATAAAATGAAACAAATAAAAGAAATGAAACTCTCAAGTCAAGCTCTAACCTGCTAGTATACCTTATTTACAGCTTGCACGGCTCCAGTAGTTGGATGTGATATTTCATTTTGACCACGTATTATCTCTCCATCCTGAAAAAAGTTCTCAAAGTTGAACAACAAGCCCGTTCAATCATAAACTCTATTATAAAATTTCTAGCCTTCTAAGGCAATATTGTAGTTCAAAAATAATCTAAAGTAGGGGTGGAAGCATTTAGAGTCAGTTAATTTCCTCACAAATACAAATGTGTCAAGAAATTTGTGCTATTATTAACATCCTTATAAATGAATGCCACTCGAAGTTCTCTGATCGCAATACAATCCACAAATGAAACAAAAACTGCAAGAGCAACACATAAAAACAGTGAACTGCAAAATTGAGCTATTATAAGCACCTTTACTATGTAGAAAATAAGACAAGATAGTGCCCAGAAGTTTACTCAAGACTTTTAATTAAAGAATCAAATCCTTTTGCGGTAACAAACATACCGAGACTTAGGTAAGGACAATAGTCACTTAAATGGGATAAAACAAGTTTCGATCTGTGATACCGATCTAGGACTCTTAGAAGGTATATAGGAAGAAGATTTAGCAAGAAGTGGTTGTGGAATAGCAAAAGAATGGAATATGGGAAATTTACAGCATTTGGAAAGGAGATAGACGATGTTTGGCAGTTATCTCGACTGAAAACAGTGAGGAAAATCACAAAACAGTGTGGCGCGAATGTCGAGGAGGGGCGTTGGCTAAAATTGTGGCATGGATAACAGCGGGAAAGTGAACTGGAACTGATAAAAGAAATTTTCCTACTGCGAACAGGAGTTGTCAACAAGTTCGACAATGAATGAGACCTCCAAGCATCTGAGAGAGATCGCCACCTCGATCCTATCAAGTTACAGACACACCGACTCAAAGAAATATAAGGATACAACACTCCAATTGAGATAATCATAAGAAAACATCTCTAAATAACATAAATCAAATCAAAAGCCCTCTCCCTAACAGAATTGCAAATATATAAATAGTACCTCCTAAAAAAACCTAATTGTAAAATAAAAAAATAGGAAAGAAAGCAGGAAAGGAAGAATAAATGTTGAAATGTGAAGGCTCCCGGCCAGCTATCAATTATGTGGTCACGGATCTCTCGCTTCCACTTCCACTCTCGCTATCATGGGTCCATTAAATGGTTTAATACTTGCATTTTCATGTGTATAAATTGTCATTCTATTAGAAAATATATGTATAGATTGTTCGGTTTTAATACTTTTACATTTTTTTAATTGGATGTAAACAGAAGTTTGCTGGTTGTGTTTATTGAATAGTGCACTTGTATACCTAATGTTTAACTTTGGATATGAACTTGCATATTTACTGAAATCCAATGTGTTTACCCTAACAAAACTCAAGTTTTGTATATAACTTTAATAGTTTATATGAAACTTCAGATATTTACATGCCTAAAAAATAATTCCTATTTTTTTACATTTCTAACACCTGAACTATAATATATATCTATGCAGATTTTTTTTTTTTTTATTCCTCATAAATTTAAACCTACAACATCTAAACTATAACATGAAATTGCAGATTTTTCTGGAATCCTCAAGTATTTATATTCATAACACCTAAATTCAAATATAAGTTTACTAATTGGCTAAATTCTATTGTGTTTATATTTATAATGCCTAAGTTCGAATATAAGTTTACTAATCTGTTGAATCTCGATGTCATTGAATCTTTAACACCTAAACTTTAAATGTACATTTATTATTTTTCAAAATTAGTGTAGTTATGTAAATATAACACCTAATTTGAATGTATTGAATATGAAAATACCAAATTAATTAACATTTTACGCACACAACTTCTAAAATGAAAGAAAGAAATTTATAGATCTTTAAATCACTATAAACTTATCTTTTAAATTAAAAGATACGAATATATGTATCTTTAAATCTCAAGCATATGATATCTAAAAAATAAGTTTAAACATTTTGATTATTCAAACTTTAATGTATTCTATACTTAATAATAATAAGAAAATGAATGAATGAAATCTTTGAAATTAAATGTGTAAATGCATAAGAGTTATTTCGTATGTATATAAATGCTCATTTTTGTTTGTGCCTTGCAAGCCTGAAGGGTGATTTATACTACGAGATTAGAGAACATAAAATCTACCGCTAAGCCTATCCCAAATTAAATTCTTATATCCCATTTTGATTTTTCATCTGCATATCACTTAATCCTTTATGAAAATATACATGCTCAAGTTTCTATATTTAAATTGTATATATTTGTCTAACCCCTTTTCTTTATATATATATATATAGATATATATATATATATACATTTATATTATGTAATTGCAATTTGTTTTGAAGTATCAACAAAATCAACCAGGTACGCTTTTATTTATTTAATTTCTTTAATTTCTTTACTATATATTTCTTTTCTTTTTGTATTGTGTCTTTCTATATGTTTCTTTCACTTTTTTTTACTGCACTCTGTTATATTGCCTCTTCCTCTTTTTTTACTGCACTGTACTGTATATATCCATTTGTACTCATCTTTTAATTACTTATTTAGTACAATTATACAACACATTAGGATAAGCCGTTCGAGGCATGGTTCTTTCTATTTTCCCTCGTTTTCATATAAACAAGATGCACTTTTTCATTTCAACACTTATACAAATTCCATAATATAACATTTTTTTTAAATCACAAGTGATGTTTGTAAACTTCAATAAACTAATAATAAGATCTATTTCATCTCTCTCTTCTCTTCTCGAGATGGAATAACGACGTGGCTGATTGACAATCCATCTCCGAATAGCGGTCGGGACTACAACAGAAGGTGGAGAGAGGAGCTTTAGCTGAACTTCGGTAGATTTAAATAACATACCTATAGGGCGTCGAGGTTGTTCGTATCGTACGACGTAAATACTGACGTTATCTCTTAGGACTTCGTACACTTATATATTGTACGACATAAGTCCTAAACTCTTTTTAGAATTCCAAAGTCATCATTCGGTACGACATAAATAGTCCTATTTTCTCGGGTTATTTGCATATGATATGCAGACACAAGTCTCGAATATCTAAATAATTTGCAAGACTAAAACATCAAATAATTACTCTTTCAAAGATGTAAAGTCAAATCATAGATTAGTTTGATATGTCACTGAATATTATTCAATATCTTCGAAATCTCCTACTTTTGCTCCTTTGGATTCTGAAAATAATCGTTCATACTTGAACCTATCCCACTTGACTTTTTCTATAAGCAATCGTGGAAATATAAACGTTGAATTCTTGAAGATGAAACCCCGATCTTAATCGAGAGTCTTCTTAGGTGACTTTGGTTGCCTAAGATGTAATTAACTATAGGGGTTTGCCGTTATAGGGAATTAAGAACCCAAATTAATCTAAACTCTGTCTAATCTGTGTATTAGATAAGGAAATTTTTCGGCTATAAAATTCGCAAACAAAAATAGAGTCGTAAATTTTTAAGTTTAATTAGTTAAGCCTACTAACAAGTGATGCACTCATCTTTTTGAGATAATATATCACTTATGGTATCGTGTTCAACTATTTAAACTATTAGATATATGAAATCTATCTGGTCTCTATTTTAAAAAAAAAGAATATTATTTTAAAAATCAAAATTACATTAAATATTTAAATTTAAAATTTTAATTTTAAAATAAAAAAATGGTCGACACTTCTCTACTGACAGATCCCTCTGTTGTAGGTAGTGGAGCCTAGAAACATATCCTAACGGTAATAGAGTGGGAGATATTTTCTCTGCATCCCTTTCTTCATCTTCTCCCACCGGGTAATCTTATCGTTGTCTTCCCTTTCTCTCTCTCTCTAAAAGTACTCCCACCACAAAGAGTAACTTTTCTTCAACTTGATATTAGATAATTTGACCCTCTTATCCTCTGGCACATCGTTATACTCGAAAATCTGTTCAATAGATTGTAGCTAATCAATAAAACTTTTTCGATCCATTCCTCCATCAAACTCTAGCAGATCTACTTTGAAGTCGAAGTTTTTTGTGCCCTAGAAATGATCTCCTCTCTGAAATTCTCCCTATGGAAGGGATTCAAATACCGCTCTCTAGGCCTCCTCTGATACTGGATTCTGAAATGTCGTGGTCTGTCTTCTTTATCGATGAAATTCTCCTCGTGGAAGGAATTCAAATCCTCTCCTCTTTCTCCCTTTTGACTCTCCAGATCTCAGTCAAAAGTAACCTCCCCTATGGTCATCTTATAAATCTCCGCAAGCCTCTGTTGAAAGTGATAGAGCTCTCGCCATATCTCTTCCTGAGTAGGACCGGGCATATATGTTCTTGGTGGCATGGTTAGAGTTTGAGATTTTTGAAAGTGGAAAGGGTAAAATCAGAGATGTTTGTTTAGTCGAGAAGCCCCATAAAGAGCTAATAATGCTAATTTGAAGCTTTCAGAGGCGATCAAGCACGTGCAAGTACTTCAAGAAGAAAAGATCAAGGAAGATCTTTGTTTCCATCCAATGAAGAAACTTCGTGCTAGGAAAGAAAATTTTTTCTTTATGGTAGATGATAGGAAACCTTAAAATAGGAGTAGGGTTAGGCTAACTTTAATATCAAATGATAACGGAACTAGCTCTGATAATATAATTTATAGCAGATGCTAGGACTAAGGTTAGGCTCGCTTGGACTTGCTTTTAGAACAGTATTAAATTGTTCCTCATAAGTGAATAGGTGCATGGTTAAACTTACCATACTAGTAGCAAAAGCAATATCAGGACTTCTACGTGGCAAATAGATAACTTTTTTTCTAACAAATTCTTGATATCAACCCTTGCCAATCTAATGCCTTGGTAACTCAACCTGACATTAAGATCGCCAAAATTGTCAACCAAATTGCACCCAAGTAGTTGAGTTTCTTTCGAGAGGTCAATAACATATTTCTTTCCGAATATGTAATATATGCTTACTTTTGACCACTTCACACCAACAAAATGTCAGGAGGAGCTATGATCTTTTATTTTAAATTCATCTGCTTAATGTTTCTATTGTTTAATAAATTGAGATCATTTTTATACAACATG